AGTGTAGGAAGTGAATATAAAGAAAAAATTGGGAATTACGGTTTACCGGGGATTGATTGTTTCATGGCGATAATAGTGGGGCTTCTTGAATCCGCCGGTGGTCGGACAAAGTCCTGAAAATAGACCACCAACTATACGTGAGGCTAAGGTCGAGTTTTCTGTCACAAACTCGCACAAATGTTCATGCCTAATTGAGCAAAGGCTAAGGTCGAGTTTTCTGTCAATTTCCAACTTCTCAAAACTGTATATATATTAACTACCAATATTCACACGTTGTCTATAACTATAGTAATCGCAATCTAATTAATATTTAAACTTCGAGTGACTAATAAGCATAAGTATTATAACAACTAATAAGCATAAGTATCATAAGTATTTAAACCTCTATATATATATATATATATAATTCCTGAATGCGTTGAGCCTACGTGGCTGCTTCTGGTGCTTCGAAATTTTACTTGGCGAAAAATCATGCTTCGTAATTAGGTTTAGACAAATATTATTAATATATTAATAATTAATAATCTAGGTTCGGACATTCCATAATCTTATTTAGCTAACTTAAGTATTTTAATATCACTTGTACTAATATAACCTTTTAATTCTTTGTAATTTTACAGAGTGAGACACTAAGTGACTAATATATCCCTTAATTTTGATTTGTTTCTTTCAATTAGCTATTGAATTATAAATGTATTTTAAAAATTAATAACTTTTGTTTTTCTTATCGGTTTTACATATATAATATATCAGATTAATCATCTTTTCATGATCTTTGATTTGACATCCATATTGTATATATAAAATAAATAAATTATATTTATCTTTATAATAATAAAAAATAATAATATTTATTAAAATTTATTAGAAAAATAAAGTTATATCTCAGTTGATATATTAATGTAGTTATATGTTGTAAGTTAAAAAAATTATTATGATATAACACAAATAAGTCACACAAATAAAAAGTGTCATACTAAATATATAATAAAATATATATTTTAATAAAAGATATTTAGGGCTTGATTGTTTATGAAATAATTTGTTCAAAATGAATTATTTTGGTTAACTGTAGTTAATTTTGAAAAATGTGGTATGATTAGTTGTTAGTGGAATTTTAAGAATGCATTAAAATAATATTTAAAATAAAATGATTAAAATTGATTTGATGTAAAAGTAAGAAATAAATGATTGAAATGATAGATAGTTAAAATTATGTGAGTGGATAAATAGGAAATTAAAGTTGATGTGATGTATAAGAATGATTGGTTTGTATTATTTAATTATATGAATAATATTAAAGATAATGGGGTTGAGTTAAATTTGAGTTAGATTTTGAGTTGAAATAAAAGTGAGTAAATTATTTGGTATACAATCAAACCCTTAAATTTTCAACTATTTTTTCTCATTAATTTTAAATTCTAAGAGAAAAATTTAGCAAGCACCCGTGTAACACACGGGCGTTGTACTAGTTAGTTTACATAGAAGACATTTAGGGGGCGATTGTATATGAAGCCAACAGTAAAATAAATCAATCAAAACTCAAATTTAACTCAACTTTATTATCTTTAATATTATCAATATAATTAAATAATATCAATCAATCATTCTTACACATCACATCAACTTTAATTTACTATTCACACACTCACATAATTTTAACTAACTATCATTTCCAATCATTTTTCTCCTACTTTACATCAAATCAATTTTAATTATTTTATTTAAATACTATTTAAATATATATCTATATCTATATATATAATTGCTAGCTAATCAATAATTAAAACCTCATAAATAAAACCTAATTAATAAAACCTCTTTTATTTTCCCTCCAAAAAAAGTTACAAAATTTGTTATTCATATTTTGCATTTCACATTAATACACCCTATTAAGTGTATCATGAAAAAAATTTATAGCATTAACTATTATAATATAATAGCAAAAAAATAGCATTAACTACTATAATAATAATAATAATAATAATAATAATAATAATAATAATAATAATAATAATAATAATAATAATAATAATAATAATAATAATAATAATAATAACAATAATATCTTGAAACCATAGAATTGTTTATACTTATGTAATTTATATTTAATGTAAATTATTATGAGCTGGTAATAGCATTAACTATTATATAATATAATAGCAAAAAAATACATGATTACACTTCATAGGGTGTAATAATGTGAAACGCAAAATATGAATGACAAATTTTGTAACTTCTTTTGGAGGGAAAATAAATGAGGTTTTATTAATTAGGTTTTATAAATACATGATTACACTTAATTAGGTTTTATGAATGATATTATTATTATTATTATTATTATTATTATTATTATTATTATTATTATTATTATTATTATTATTTTAATTTTGTATTTCATGAAACAATTTTCTTTAAAAACAATTAGTAAATAGTTTTAATAGTACAGTAAAAAAACTTTAAAATCTTATAAACAATTGTCGTTGTAGTAATAATAATAATAATAATAATAATAATAATAATAATAATAATAATAATAATAATAATAATAATAATAATAATAATAATAATAATAATAATAATTTTTTCAAGTAAACTTTTTGACAATGATCCCTCAAAATTATAAAAATTACATTACCTACTAATTTTTTTAATCAATATAGTGATTCATATGTAACTCAAATAATATATATCAATATTATTTTATTTTTACTAATAAATCTTGAAAATGTGGTATGTCCATTATCTAGAATTTTAATTTTAAATTCACATATCTTGAAAATGTGATATGTTTATTATCTATAATTTTAATATTAAATTCACACGTATTACTTATAATATTTTATGTACATCTGTGCATGTGCACAGGATGAATACTAGTATATATAATTGCTGGCATATAACATTTAATAAAACCTATTTAATAAAACCTCTAAAATTTTCCATCCATTTTCGGCTACAAAATATGTCATTAATATTTCTACTTTTCACATTAATACATCCTATTGAATGTAATAATGTATGTTTTTATTATATTATATAATAATTATTGTTAATACCAACTTATAATAATTCACAATAAATATAAATTACATAATTATAAATAATTGTTTCAGTTAGTCATTTTAACATCAAAATTATCTTTTTCTTTTGTATCTCATGAAAAAATTTCTTTAAAAATAATTAATAAAATATTTTAATAGCATAGTCAAACAACTTTAAAATCATATAAACAATTGCCTTTTAATAATAATAATTATTATTGTTATTTTAATAACAATTGCCTTTTAATATAAACAATTGCCTTTTATAAACAATTGTCTTTAAAAATATATATATAAATGTTGGCTTAGCATTTAATTTTACCTACTTAATAGAACTTCTAAAGTTTTCCTCTATTTTTGGTTACAAAATTTATCATTAATATTTTTTTACTTCTACATTAATACATCCTATTAAGTGTAATCATGTATTTTTTTATTATATTATATAATAATTATTGCTAAACCAACTAATAATAATTCACAATAAGTATAAATTACATAATTATAAACAATTATTTTAAGTTATTTATATTAACATCAATTTTATCTTTTTCTTTCGTACTCATGAAAAAATTTCTTTAAAAACAATTAGTAAATTGTTTTTATATCATTGTCAAACAAATTTAGAAGCTTATAAACAGTTTTTAATAATAATAATAATAATAATAATAATAATAATAATAATAATAATAATAATAATAATAATAATCAAACTGGTATTATCTAATGATAATAAACAATTATTTATAATAATAAAATTGTTACTTTATTTTTCCTAATGATCAATTTTTTAAAAATGTAATATGTTCATTATCTAGAATTTTAATATTAAAATCTCAAATATTACTTATGATATTTTATGTACATCTGTACATGTGCACATGATATCTACTACTATTCAATAACAACTAATCGTACAACTTTTTTTTTTTTTAAAATTAACTATAGTTAAAAAATAAACCAAATAACAACTAGTCAAATCCATAAACAATCACACCCTTAATTTTTTACAAAAAGAGTTGTCATTATATTGCTTTTTCTTATTCAACAATTAGGTATATTACATTGACTATAGATACCCATTATTGTGTAGTTTAACCCGTAATTTTGTCATTATTCATTTCTCTTAGTGAAAAAAAAAACTATTACCATTTTTTTGCTCTCTCATTCGTCTTTCTCTCGATCTCAATCTATGCAACTTTATTCCGTCCACTTCTAAAATTTAATATGATATCATTCACCGAATACAATATGTTCAATCACCATCGACGTTACAATTTTAAACATACTACACTTGATCAAAGTGATCGAATACAACTTTCCTCTAACTTAGAACACGAGGATTAGAGATCCAAAGCACAACATGAACATGGCAATTACAACACAAAGGAGAGATAGCGACGGCGAAACCCGACCATTATCTTTCCTCAACAACATCCCTTCGAACACGTGATAATTCACAATCACCCCAAACAACGAGATCAAAGCTTGCGCAAAAACTTCACTCGCCTCTTGACCTCGGGCGATCCTCACTGCCCCAAAAGCGAGTGAAACCAAATTAAGGATGTACAAGCTACAAATGGGAGCAATAACCATAGGCGATCCTTGAAAATCATAGATGCCTTTCTTGAAGCGCGTTTCTGATTCATGGTCAACAACCTTGTTTGTTAGCGTAAAATGTGCATTATGCAAGCCCAAGTTATCAAAGACTGCACCCACGACTGCGTACAAGTAACACGTTGACGACTTCATCATCCACATCCGCAATTCATAAAGAGCTCTCCATATTGAGTCGCCATAAAACATAACCTCTTCAATATGTTTGAGCTGTGAGCCCAAAAATACCAACACAAACACAACGAAATATGGATCTGAAACCTTGGGATAAAGAGATATGCCATGGAGTAGACATATTTGAGGTAGGATGGAGAGAGTATAAAAGGGAAAAACATAGATGGGGTCGAACGTGGCGGCTGCATAACACATGCACTGCAGGGCCGACATCTTCCCTCTCCCGTACGTAAGAGCACAATATTTAGAGAGAGAAATCTGCATTTGGCCAAGGGCCCACCTTCCCTTTTGGACCAACACGTCGTTCAGGCTGGTGGGGCACGAGCCCAAGAAACAGGGCCTGCCCGGATCAACAAACACAGAAAACCACCCTTGGCAGTGTAAATATTCACTTGTGATGACATCTTCCACCACCGAATTATATATGAATCCCACCTGCACTTTCGACAATCCATATTATGTTTAGCCTTCTTTTTCGTATTAACTAATAAAATCGAAACAACAGAATTATTCAACTTGCCTCTTTGCCCCATTCTGAATGGCTGTCATAGGTGCACGAGGCTACAAGTTGAACTTCTTTTTCCAGAGCACCACTAATTTTTTTCCTGTCCTTGGACGGCGCTGGCTTGTAGTTTTTGTAAGCAGAAATCGACTTTATTAGCTCGTTGCTCGGGCCAAATGATATTTTCATATCATTGACGTTGAAATCTGGATTCAAATTCAAAATGGATCATCTTGTCATGTAGCTATCCAGCAAGAGATCACATGTGTACAATAGTCGATATACTTAGAAGTGATGTGTATTCATAGTACCGTCTTTCATGTTTTTAGTTCCATACACTGCTTCCCTTTTCAAGTACATGTTGCAACCAGATATGAATGGCCCTTCGATTCCATCAATGCCGAGCCATCTTCTCTGTAAGTTTTAAGACATTGTAGTTAAAAGATAAATAACTTTTCCCCTAGATTGAATATCAGTTTCTTTTTCTCTCTAATTAACTCTTATGCTTGTAGAACCTAACTAGTTTCTAATTCATAGTAAAAAAAAAAAAGAAGGTAAAAACGGTTAAAATGGATCGTTACCAAATAGTAGAGTAGGCGACAATCATAAATATCATGATCACTAATATTATGGAATTTCTGTGGGAATTGAACCCAAGCTAGTTTTGGGGAGACTTTAGGGTCGAGAAAGAAGCACATTGCTTGGCGGGCTGAAGTTGGGTCGTTGCAATAATGGTCACAGTCCAGTAGAAGAATATAACCACCATTGCTGATAAGAGCAGACACCCTAATCTGTGACAACAAAAGGAGATCATCACCTAATTACATGATAATGAATATTACACAAAAAAAAAAAAAGCAGTGTAATTGCTGAATTCATATTTCTTTTATTCTTGTTATCGTATGATGATATTCGAAAACAACCAAGTTACTTTTGATTAGCTTGTATATGATGGCCAGTTTTCATTTTTGTCATCAACACAGAGTTGATATTCTCAAATATTATGTATAAATGGAAGAGACATAGAAAGAGAGGTATTTGTTACAAGGGTGTTAACAGCTCCAGCTTTGAAGTTGTGTGGTTGTGAAGGCCTTTTTTCGCGAGCAACGTATACAAGAAGCGGCATCTCTTGCTCACCATCCACATCATTCATCACCTGCCCATTGAATCTAGCCTGGTTTAACTATATTCGTCTCGACAAAATACGATTGTCAGCGTCAAAATTTGCTTCTTTTAAAAGGTAAAAAAAAGTATCACAGCTTCTTGTAAAAGCATCACTTGTGAATAATAATGATTGTTCATAAACGTCATAGAAAAGCAAATCATTAAACAATATGTCCGTTTGCGACCAAGATTTTATCTTATAATTTCTAATCCGACTCTTGTCTACCTCGATGACCGGCACATGGTCTCTGCTAACTGAGCTGCTTGCATTTGCAGAGTTCTTCTCCAGAATCTCCTTGAATTCATCATACTTTTTCTGTAAACCCCCAAAGACACCATATACACCCAACATTAGTTATGATCAAGAGAACCCATGTAACTAAAAAAAGAACAAATAATGAGAACAAACCTTGATCTCCATCTTCTCATCCACAAACCCAACTCCGTCACTTTCGGCTCCCGAAAAATAAGCCTCCGGGCACCGATTTTTCACCTCATACTTCGTACAGAAAGGCAGCCACCACTTACAAAACCTCCAAGCCTCTCTCATGGCTTCCAAAGTCACGGACGAGCCGCCATCGTCCGATACGTAAACCGAAAGCTTTCCGGGCGGGTAGTCGAGGGCCATGGCCGATATGACGGTATTCATGACCCCTAAAGAAGGCTCCTTGCTCGGGTCAGCCGTACATATAAACACGTCAATATTCGGAAACTCGTCATCGTTTGCAGGCAGTCTTTCGGGATATACAGTTCGGGTCACCAGCCTCCATCTGAAGGCCTGGTGCAAGGCCCATTGGAAAATAAAAACAAGCTCAGAGATGAAGATAAGGGTATATGGGAGAAGGGGAGTTTCTCTGGTTTTGATGATTTGGGTTAATTTAATGAGCCTGTAGTAAACAATGGCTGACAATGCAATTCCAAGGAAAAACATGTACACTCTGTTTATTATCATCTCTGTTCTTAGGACATGACACTCATTCAGTTTGTTTTTCTCCATTGCTGACTTTGTTGTTGTTTTGTGTGTGTGAGAGTGTCGTAAGGTACGTTATATTTATGGACTAGCTTCATATATCACAAACCTCCGTCCATAGTGTTGGCAAGAAAGTCATACCTATATTAAGTAGGTGATAGGGATTTACAAAATAAACCCCGTTGAACTGACATCTCTCCTGACCTTCTCGCCTGAGTACCTGAAATAGGGAGGATTCTCGGCCTAGAGCCTCAGACGGTCAAGTCAAGTCAGTCCCTGGTTCATATTAACATATGAATAATAATACGTAATTCGTAATGTAACTATGATGCTCATACCAAAGTCTTTATATGTACACTACAAGACTACAAGAAAATGATGAAATTCCAACGGAAATCTATTTTAAAAGAATTATTCCAACGGCAATTCCAACGGATATTTCAATACTATTATTTCCGTTGGAATTTTTCAATGGATTCCAACGAAAATTCCAACGAAAATATTCCGTCGGAATGGGTTTCCATTGGAATTTCCGTTGGATTTTGACGATTCCAACGGTGGATTTTCCAACGGGGGTGGAAAAAAAATTTCCAACGGAATTTGCATATTCCAACAGAAATTCCTACGGTAAAAAGCCGTTGGAAGTATAGCCGTTGAAATCATCAAATTCCATCTAAAATTCCAATGAAAAACACATTCCAACGTAATATTTCCGTTGGAATTTCTGTTGGAACTATTCCAACGGAAGCTATTCCATTGGAATATCCGTTGGAATTTCCATTGGAATATATTACCATAGGATTTTCCGTTGGAATATAACATTTATTTTGTAGTGGTAGTTATCTTGTTCTACAAGAAGTCTATTATTATAAGGAAACTAGATATCCACATACATAATTGAACTAGAGTTCTTTTCGTATCCCGCAGATTATTAAGATCCTTGTAATCCTGCCTTTACTAGGTATCTTATAGTCACCGACTCTATCAACTCAATATCTGGCCATCTCAAATTAGACATGCTCATTGATATAGCCATATAAGTGGACCGGGAAAATTCCAAGTACCTGGAGCTCAACTAGCTTAAAAGACGAGATGTCGAGATAGGATCACCGAGCTCGAGTGACTAGACGACCTCACTCTTGGATGACTTCACTCTTGGACGACCTATAGGATCGACGGCCTATAGGAGCGACGATTATAGGCCATGAATACAACCAAAAAAAAACCTCAAATACTTAATATAACTCGACCTAGCCCTTATATGAACTAAGATCCCTATATTTGAACCATGTCAGACGACCTAGGCAACCGGAGACTCGACCTCAACCAAAAGACATGTTATGGACGACCTATAATAGGATCATAACCTAAATCAGCAGAAAGTAGAGATAAGAAGGAATCTTAAAGAGATAAGGAGGAATCTAAAGGTGTTAGGAGATGACTAGGATGTGGATAAGAACTAAGTCCTGGCAGCCGAGTAGGTTACCTGCGGGCAGTGGAGCTGAGCATTTCGTGTAGGTATTTCCCTATAAAAAGGGACTAAGCTATAACCAAACCCTAACTTTACATTCTCCATAAATTTTATACTGCTCTTACTCATAGAGCACCACCATCATCTTCTTGCCACCGACTAAGACATCAGAGGCTCTTCGGAAAAATTTCCTCCAGCATTGAGTTCTTGCAGGTACACGTGTGGCGGTTCAGACATATCAGAGCTTATCTAAATCGTTTCTACCCATATCTAAATCGGTTCACTCATCTCGCATCAGCTTGCTAAGTAAGGGCCCAGGTCACCTGAGTCTAGGTCATTCACTCAACCTTGGATGTCTAGGAGTCGATATCAACCAACTCCACCTATCGCTTTTATATCGAGCTAAAGGGAGCTCTGGTCTAGATCCGAGATATAAAAGCTTGGTTCAGGACAAAGGTTTTATGTTATATCAATAGTCCATCAACCCCATAGTCCTTTCAAAAATAGATTTAACAACTATTTATTGCGTATGCATCAGAAACTCTGAGGAAACAGCACCGGTCTTTTCAAAAAGGCATATTCGAGTATCATCTACAAACAATATCGAGGAGCCTACCATCAATCGTGGAATTTGAAATTTTGGGGGACATCTAACGGTTCTCAAACATTCGACCTCCTCGGCTTTGACCTGTTATAAATCCTCTCCATTATTGTTAAACATATTCCACCTTCTGAAACTTTACGCAATCCTGCACTAAGCATTTCTGACATCCTTTGTCCTCTACCACTTCAAACGACCTCATCTATATCATCGTCCTGTGACTCAAGGATATTTCCTCATAATTCCCTCATTTATTATGTTTTCTTTGAGCTCTTTTCCCTTATTTCTTCTCATTACTCTACCTAAATAACTACCTATACTAATCATGTCTCACACCTTGAGCTCTAATAGTAGGATAAATCAGAACGTCCTAAGTTCTGACACCTTGTCCTCATCTCTAACCATAGTTCCTGCGCCTTTACCAAAACCTTCTGCAGACCACCCCTCGAGCTCATACATGAGCTCCGAGGATGGTGTAGGGAGAGATAGAAGCTCTTGTTGAAACTCACCCATCCATTTTTTCCTCTCTTTTGTACAACCTTCCACAAACTTAATCCTTATCTCCTATACACTTAACCATTATGGGTCAGCCTACCCTAAACAAGCTAGCCGAGATGAAGGACTCGGTAAAACTCAACCATTTCACCCGCGCGAAGTCCTAGCAGAGCGGCATTATCAAAACCTTCTGCAAGCTTCCATTCTCGGTAGCTTGTCCTTCCAAAATCTACAGACACATTTGACCTCCCCCCAAACAATTGCTACACCTTCTTTAGGGACCAAATACATATATCCCTTCAATTTTCAATCCAAGATGACCTAAGTTGACTCATAGATCTATATCTCCTCCCCATAAATCACTTCTCACCGAGCTCGTTCTGCCTAATGGTGGTGTTCACCATACTAAGTCGTTGTTGCCTCAGTGACCTGGATCTCGAGACCTTAGTAGATATATATCCCTAACAGTTCGAGTGTGTTCCCCGTTTGAGGGATTCCCCGTAAAATGCATCGAGCTAGAAATACATGTGAAGCAAATCAGTGTATCTAAAGGCAATAGAGCCGAGGTTGTGCCCTCGTTGTCAAGCTCATAAAACCAACCTATTTTGTTCATATTCCTACCAAAAAACATCCTTTTTAAAACACCAATGTGAGCTCCCCAAATCTTGGACTATTTGAGATCTTAGCCATGGGAATAGTTTTGACCAGCCGCCCCGAGGCTTTTACACCTTTGTCATGGATCAGATCCTTAGAAACTCAGGTTCTCTCTAGATTATGATTTGGTGAGATTGAGTCATCTGTACTGCATTCCACCAAATCACTTCGCTTCAAACTGCATCTATCTTATGGTCGGGTTTATAATTCTTAGTCGTCTCCTTCGTCCTATAGACCTCAACTTCTTGTTTTACTTTTATAGTCTAAAGATGAAAAAATGGATATTGTATCTCACAAATTGGAATCATGCCATGCTTTTCAAAGACCTTCCTTTCAATGTTTATGCTTGAAAGACAAAATTATTTTTTGAGCGATCTCTTCCAGAAGCCTTCGATTTTCTGTCCGACTACATTGAGGAATTCTCAGATCAACAAAAGAAGCAACCCTTCTAAGAATTAGAATGACCAAATCAAAGAATGGAATCAACTTCCATCATATGTCACCAAGTTGATCTTTGATGACCGATTGTGGTACCATTGTGTAGTAGATCGATAAAATTATCTCTCATTACTGACATATGTACTACGTAGATTGTAGGTTTTCTCTTCTACGCTTTGATTTGTTTGATGATACTTGGTGTACAAACAACCTCAAACGGCTCGAACGACCATGGATCCGCTCTTGATCGGTTGAAATACAAACAAAACAATGCCAAGAAGGGTTTTAGTGTAAAAACTTCAATGATCAAATCAGTAGGTGTATGAGGAATATGATAAATGGTATGTACATATATCTTGTAAGTTTACAAAAGTGTGTAGAGTGTAAATGATCATATCTCACTCTATGATATAGAAGTGTTACCTTGTTTCTCAAAATTACCCGGTTGGGCTGCCCAATTGCCCGAGCTACCAGTTCGTACTACATGGGTGCCCAGATTGCCGATTCTATTAGGCCGCATGTCATATCCATATGTGGTTCTTATCCTAACAATATTTCTTTGTATCACTTATGTAGTGTGTTCATCTTAGACTATCTCATTAGGCGGTCTAATTATGAGACCAACTCAGTTTCTCCTCAACCAAGTTACTTTGACGTTCAACGTATAAACTTTAGCAACATGTCTGCATCCCGATCAAGTTTCGATCAGGCTAGCTGAGAGCCCTGGCTCGACTTGTTGGTGTGATCTCTTACATGTGAGGTCATCAGCGACCTGATGACTCCTCGACCTCTGGTGCCCTTAATGTCCAATCGACCTGTTGGTCCACCCATTGTAGTCAAACTGATCCTCAGGTCGTACTCGACCTATTATGGTATCCCATATCAACTGGTCCTCCCCCACCCATGGTCAGACTTGTTAAGCTTGGAACCTCTTTAACCAACTCGTCAGCTATATGTTCTTTTTGTTTTTGTCCCAAATGACCCTTTTGACATAAGTCCAAAGTTTTTTAATTCAAATTTTGAATTTCAAAAGTTTTACATCTTGTTAGGTCAATTTTAGAGTCCTTTCAAATCAACTCAATGTTCTCTCGACGTAATCTTCTCGTATCACATCCTACCCTCATACACTGCGCCAGTCAATACTGCTTCAATCCTATTAACTCGATTTATCTTTAATTAGATAGTCCTGAACATGTCCTTTCCACTTACCCTTTTAATCTCACCCGTCTATTTCGACCTTGATCGACCGACTTTAATCGACCACCTCTTCATCTTTGCAACTTCTAATCCTGCTTGTCCATTTCAACCTTGAGGTAAACTTGAGACTTCTACTGTTCGCTTGAGTAGCGAGCCTTGTCTCAACCGAGCACCAAGCACCCGCTCGCCTAAGCAATGCAACCCATGCACGACAGGGCCCAGCCTTGATGCACGTTCCTATGCGAGAAGTACGCGTGACCCGAGCTCTTTCACGAGAGCAGCCCGTGTGACCCACAGTTACAAGTGAGCAGTTCCCATCTGCGACAACACGCACCGACCGTGCGACCCGACGATGAGGCGATTCGATTTATAATGATTGTTCGAGCGAGGTTCGGATGATCTCCATCAACAAAAATTAGAAACGTCTCATAGGCTGCAAAAGTTTTAAGCCGTGAGTGTTACACACTTACTTTAGTTCGCGATTTGCTTAAATTTGACGTTACTTATAGAACCCCAACATCAGTGACGTTCGAACGTCGTATGGGTGATGATCTACAGAGACGTGAAGCTCTATCTCTCTCTCTCTCTCTCTCTCTCTCTCTTGTTAAGCTAGGGTTGAGTTATGAGGTTGAGTTCTTCACATGGCATATATATGCTATAATAGGGACCTAAGCAGGCTATGAGTAGGACTACCAATTGACCAAGAAATATTTAGGTTGTGGTTCACCCTATTTCTTGGGTCATTAATAATAAATAATTTCACTAAATATTTATTATTGCGCTTCCTTTCTTTGACCTTAATTATTTGATGTGCACTATCCTCCATTTACGTCGTTGTACTAAAGATATAACATCTATTAATTAATTTAATTACTGGTAATTTAATTAATTAATTCCTATATATTCTGAGACTAATACCGCTTAATCCTTATTATTATGACAAAATCAAGTCCGCCTGCAGTGCTTGACATAATAAACATTTTGAGCTCATTTTAGAGATGTCATCAACCTAGCGCACCAATGTACAGTGACTGAGTATAATCGACAACATAGCATGTGATGAAGAATAATTCCCAACTCGCCGAGTTATTGACCTAACGGAAGTTATGGACTTAACGAAATAAGTCTCACCCTTTTGTATCAAATAACGGTTATTAATCACATGTGCCCATCATCATCAAACGTCTTACGTGTACACGTGATATCACGAGATCTAGTTTATTTACTAGGTCATTATAACATGAACTTGTTCTCCATAGTCCGTTCAATACTCATAAAGCGTACAGACATAATTCATTAGTTAAGATAAATTAACTCAAATTATTCTATAACGATACCGATAGGTTTGTTCATTGTTATTTAAATTATGAACCTTATTCATTTTGCACAGGGAACTGATAATACAGTCTTCTGTGCGACGACGACCCACTGTATTATCTTTAATATGAAAAACAGGACAAAAGACAAATCCATACACAAAGTAAATCGTACAAAAATTGACTAAACATGATTCTTTTAGTGAACCGCTAAACACCGCCCCCTTTTCGATATTTACCGCCCCCCTAAAAGACTAATTTGCCCTTTATACATTTTTTTAAAAATAATAGATGTCCCTCTTTAAACCTATTTACCGGCCAAACCGAGCCTCGAAAAAATCTGAAAATACCTCTGAATAATTCCGGCGAAGAAATGCTTTCCAACAAGACCGATCATGCGGCGGCTGACCGGTCAAACCGGCGGCCGACCGGTCAAACCGGCCAAAAATAATTTTTTTTTTCTGTGGACCGGCCGGCCTCGAATGCCGGCCGTAGCCGTGTCGGCCTTCTTTTTGCCGGTTGGCCGGCCCATGCACGGCCGGTTTTACCGGTTGG